AGACAGGAAAGTAGATATAGACATTAGACGAGGGTATGCCGGCAATAGCGACAAGATAAAATATGACAGTGAGCTGAGAGCATGCTGATGGAGCCGTATCTACTGCTCATCCAACCGGCAATACGAGGTAGCTAGTTGATATTACCTCATAAGGCGTATTACTTTGAATCGTCCGAAGTACACTAGTATCAGCGACCTTATCAATTGGGATCAGCTGTACTCCTTCACACTGTCCTTCCATGGCAGGATACCCCTGATTGAGGAACCATCTACTACAGTATAGAGCCGTATTAATATAGTAATAACTCTAGCCTCTTGTAGACCTCCCTTACCATAACCCCACCATACATGACGATTACGTAAGGTATCTATATCCACACTCATCACCAAATAACTATGTGTAGAGGACCACCTCCAAAAGGATGAGTAGCAGCACATCCTGGTTCATGAGGGTTTACTGCACATAACTTATTGTGTATCATAGTATCGATAGCCTGCGATATACCATTCATAGATGGTGTTGTATGGACTACCATCAGGCTCGTGGCTAATAGGTGGAGGATCTTGCGTTCTTGGGCGACGGCGGAGCGATGCTTCGACGTAACTCTAGATGTTAGGGTGATGTTATCAGTGTCGCCCCCCTATCACCATGGCATCTTCCACTGAGATGATTCACCTTCGCTCATCTCAAGGAGAGGTCTTCGAGGTTGAGGTAGTAATACTGTCAACACTACCCCTTACCTAATACTGTCGAGATATAGCTTGTCACCCGCTGTTTTATATTATTGAAATTAACATTAATCTTTTCAGTCGGCAGTAGCATGTATGTCGAATTTGATCCAGAATATGGTAGAGGATGGCGGTGTAGATGAGGAGATACCCTTACCTAATGTTAAGACTGCTATATTGGCTAAGGTAATTGTTGAGAATAACCCCACGTATCACCGTCTAGAGTCGGAAGTACGACCATTACAGGTAATTGAGTATTGCAAGCATCATAAGGAGAACCCCCCTGATGAGATAACTAAACCGTTAAAGTCAACGAGTCTCGCGGAATGTGGGGTCAGTGATTGGGACTGTGAATTTGTGAACATCGAACAGGTAGGGCTGCTGCATAGCCTTGACGACCCTATCTTCACACTCTTGCTGTGCTCATTGGTCCTAGTGGTACTTACCATACTATGCCCTGTTAGGAGATCCTTTTCGAGTTAATTCTAGCTGCGAACTATTTGGACATCAAGCCTCTGTTGGACCTAACATGCGCTAAGGTAATTCGTACTCATACTGTCATGTCATATACTGTCGTGGAAGCATCGTATGTAGGTTGCATCGATGATAAAGGGCAAGACACCAGAGGAAATTCGCCAACAATTCAATATCGTCAACGACTTTACTCCGGAAGAGGAGGCTGAGGTAAATCTTAGTGGAGTGTTCGATTCCGTTTTATCATAGTCTGTTGTTCGTTGCGTACTCCTCTTGGATGACGTGACTACTTGTCGCATGTTCAGGTTCGAGAAGAGAATAAGTGGTGTGAGGACGCGTGATATCATTACCTGCACCTGCTTGGATCACGACGTGATTAGAATATCACATATACTCAGCATTTCGTTATCCCGGGTGTCTCGTTTAGTATCAGTAGTTATAGGCTTGTTCGGATACAGTTGTACATTTTGTATTGTGGTGTATGAATACTGTGGGAAGCACTATTGACGGGGAAACAGTGAAGTTGAGATCCTCTCAAGGCGAGGTCTTTGATGTTCCGGTAATATTATATAGCATCATATGGATGTCGGGTATTATGTAGGGTGTGATGTCAGACCAATGTCGCATGTATGTCGAATTTAATCCAGAATATGGTAGAGGATGGCGGTGTCGACGAGGAGATACCCTTACCTAATGTTAAGACTGCTATATTGGCTAAGGTAATACTCCCTTTGATAACGGGGAAGAGAAGGCTTATTGTTATGTGGGAGGAGCCGCCTTCTAGATGGTATTGCTATAATGTAGGTGATCGAGTATTGCAAGCACCATGAGAGCAATCCACCCGACGAGATAAGTAAACCATTGAAATCTACTAACTTGGCAGAATGTGGCGTCAGCGATTGGGACTGTGATTATGTCAACATCGAGCAGGTAGTATTGTGGAGGATACAGCGTTCAGTATTAGTAATATTCAATAACGATATCATTGTAGGAGATGCTGTTCGAGCTCATCCTGGCTGCCAACTATATGGACATCAAGCCTCTACTCGATCTAACGTGTGCTAAGGTAGTTCCATTTCATCCTATAGTCTGTCTATAGTCGTTGTCGAGGTTGCATCGATGATCAAGGGGAAGACTACCGAGGAGATTCGTCAGCAGTTCAACATCGTTAACGACTTTACTCCCGAGGAAGAAGCACACGTAGTACCAGTTGCTAGTTGGGGTAAACGAGTTACTTCCACTTCAGTTACGTGAGGAGAATAAATGGTGTGAAGATGCGTAGGGATAATCTTAGTGACAGTTTTTCAGTGTGCACAAAACTCTATGGATGTTACTTGTAAATGCCAGTGGAAGGGCACAATGATGCTAGTCCAATAACAATCGTTCGTCCAACAGTCTAGATTGATAACGCAATATCATCAATAGCTGAACAGTAGATACGTATGAGATAACGTCAGTAGCCACTAGGACTAGTTGGTAGATTAAGCTCATTTCTGCTGTACATCCCCTTGAGAAGCCTTCTTTATAGCATCCCTCACTGCTTGTAGTAATGCTCCAGCTTGGAGCTTGTCCATATAGCATTGGACCTTGCCACTCTGGGCTAGCATACAGGCTACGGCCACAGTACCGCCATGGACAGCAAAAGAAGAGGGCAGTGTGGCTATCACCCCACCTGGCTTCATCGTCTTCTTATCACCACATCCTAGTTCCTCTAAAGTTGCTTCTTTCCTATCGAGTAACCTGAATAGCATCAGGCATTGAGTGGTACTCGAGCTATCATGTGTGGTTATTACTGGGCTAGAGCCTCGAGGCTAGGTATCTCGATCACTTGCCTCTTATCCTCAGCAACTCTATTTAATAATGGTAGAAGAGCAGGGGCACCATCTTGTCCAATACGCCTGGGGAAATCGAGTAGATTTGTGAGAGTAGAGTAGGAGGAGGTAGTACCAATTAGGAGGTCCCTTTATAGCGTTCTCATCCTTGGGATGCTTAATTTCCACCAATTGGAAGGCGCGTACACCCAGATTAGCTACTCGGAAGGGTGATCTCGTCTTGGCCTTCACCATCCTGAGCGTTCGGTATAAGGCTAGAAAAGTGTATGTATATTACTTCATCGCTGCCTTACTGAGAAGGAACACCTTCTTAGGCTGATCCTTCCTACACCAGAGTAGCTCGCTAGGCAGCATATCCTCGGTAATGCCATAGAACTCTCGTATGGTATCCAGGGACTCTTTCGGGCACGGGTAGTACTCCTTACAAATGGGCTTGGCTGAATGAGATGATGATGACGACGATGCGTACAGGCATGGAGCATGGTTATCGCACCATCAACGGCAACAGGCCGGCCTCCACGACGCTGCTCGGCAGCAGGCTTGTCAGTGGCTGCTGACTCCTCATTAGAATCGACAGCGTCGTCAGACACCTTCTCAAAAGCTGCTACGAAGAAGCCTCCCGCATTGATATCATGAGGGAAGAAGCGTCGGCAATGATGTAGTTGGGCCTTGATGGAATCGTCAGTAGGAGGCCACATGCCTGATAATAGAATAGAGAAGAGAGGATGGCAGTAGGGCTTACTGGATAACATCTTCTTTTTATATTGATCAGGAGTATCCTCATATTTATCAATATGGGTAGCGGCATCACCAGGTGGGGAAACAGTCCAGGTTGATAGGCCAGGTCGTCCGCCTGAATACATCTCTCCACGAGGAGCAGCGATACTATAAGTAGCATTACCAACGGCTGGTCCCGCAACCAACTTCACTTTGCCATTGAAGTTGGCCAGGGCAGCAGCAACCACTGCCTCGTCCTCGATGGGATTAAGACTACAGGTTGAGTATACCACTCTACCGCCAGGCTTGGCGAGCTCCAATCCCTACACGACAAATTTGAACGAGTCGCTAAGCAGTACAGGAGTACCCGGAGTAAGATACGGAACTGCCTATGATGGATAGCAATGCTGTTGCCAGTCTTCCACTCCCTCCAGATGTCAGGGTTCTTACGCATAGTACCATCACTTGTGCATGGGACCTGTCACCAATTGTCCTCAACAACAATGGTAGTGACCCTGCTAGTGGCCTACATCACAAAGAACTCTATCGAAGAGGACCTGCTTCCCTTCCTCGTCCCAGAGTACTGGGAAACAGGATGCATCGAAATTGACAACTCCAGAAGCAGGAGAGTTCAATCGCAGGACCTGAACCACTTCTGTTTGCATATCAAGTTGGGGGATTACTTGATGGGCTAGCATATTGGCCCGCTTCCATTCTATATCATTAGCAAGCACTAAGCCCTCTGGGATGGAGAACTCAGGAGAGCATGATGAACTACTGCTGCTGCTGTTATTGCTGGTGTTACTCAAAGACTCTATCATCTGACATGTCTTAGAACCTAATAACAGCAGCTGCCAATCAGCTCAGCCACTAGCATGTCGAATATTATTATACCAGGAGCAGCACACATATCCATGACTGTGAGATCAGGCCTATCTATTTTAGCGAAGAGTGCTGGTATCATAGATACGGCCTCTTGACGGGCAACACACCTATACAGAGAACAACTCCATTACACCAACTCATACCTCTCACCCCTTCTACCCTCT